ATGCTCTGGGCATGTGTCCTAGATTTCGGTGGTAGTTGGGATACGTACCTTCCGTTAGCGGAATTTTCGTATAACAACAGTTACCATGCGAGTATTGACCGCCCTCCTTTCGAGATGCTCTATGGGAGGAAGTGCAGGACCCCGATTTGTTGGGGCGAGGTCGGTCAGCGTGTCATTGGGAGCACCGAAGTGGTGCTCAAGACGACAGAGTTGATCCAGTAGGTTCGTAGTAGACTGCAGACTGTGCAGAGTCGGCAGAAGAGTTACACCGACAGAAGGCGTTTAGACTCGGAGTTTCAGGTGGGTGACATGGTCCTCCTGAAGGTATCACCCTGGAAGGGTGTCATTAGGTTCCAAAAGAGGGGCAAGTTGGGCCCCAGGTTCATTGGTCCTTTTAGGGTTTTGGATCGGGTGGGTCGGGCCACCTATTGATTGGATCTTCCAGTAGAGCTTAGCCAGATCCACAACACTCTTCATGTTTCTTAGTTGAGAAAGTGTTTGGTGGACAAATCAGGAGTTGTACCCTTGGAGGATATTCAGGTTGATAGCCACCTGAATTATATCGAGAGACCAGTTGTGATCTTAGATCGAAAGGCGAAGACCCTGAGGAACAAGGTGGTTCAGTTGGTGAAGGTGCAATGGCAGCACCGGAAGGGTTCAGAGTGGACATGGGAGGCGAAGGAGGGGATGAGGGAGCACTACCCAGAGTTGTTTCTGGAGACAGCAGACTTCAAGGACGAAGTCTAAGATAAGTGGGGGAGAATTGTAATGCCCCGTTCCTGCTACATATTTATTTTGATTAAATGTTTCTTTTTGGAAGAGCTACTCGGTGAGTTCTAGCCCTAAGTCGCCGAGTAGATGTCGAGTTGGATGCGGGCTTTAAGTGATCTACTCGGCGAGTCGACGCCTAGACTTGGCGAGTAGGCCAGTTAGGAGGAAACCCTAATCCTTAAGGTTTGCACCTATTTAAATGTCCTTATAGCCCCATCTTAGCCTCCATCCCCCTCAAAGCATTCCTTAGCGAAACCCTAGCCTCCATTGGTAAGTTTGAGTGATTGTTGCCTTGTGAAGGGACTTTTGGTGCACGTTGGAGCAAGTGGAAGAAGGGAGAGGTTGAAGAGGTCAAGGAAGGGGACTTAGATCTAGAACACATTCGTTTGTGGTCATCCATTCCGGTAATAAAGTTTCCATCTTGATTATTGATCTATTAGATCTTGTTTGTCCCTAAATTGTTGCTTTTAAGCCCTAAAACCCCAAATCCTTTGTAGAGAAACCTTATGGTTGGGTTATACTTCAGATCTGGACTCTTATTACCTTCTAGAAGTGTTAAGTTTCAGTCATATTTGTGATTAAGGTCCCTCTTGATCTTAGAACCCCATTAAGAGCTTAGTTTGGACATTTGAAGCCCCTAAAGCTATGCATGCATGTATAGTTTGCAACTTTACGTGATAAGCATGCCCTAGAAGCCTAGATCTGTGGTTTGGGGCTGCTGCATGGCTCAAATCAGGTCTGTATGGAAAAAGGACTAAATGAACTCGACGAGTAGAACGTTAGACTCGACGAGTCCTATGAAGATAGCCGTGAACTCGGCATGTTGGATGAGCAACTCGGCGAGTCTGATGAAGATTGCCTTAGACTCAACGAGTTCTTCTACAACTCGGAGAGTCGGATGAACTTGGATACAATATGTGTGCATCGAAGAAGAACGCGTCGAGTCATCGCTAAGCTCGATGAGTAGAAACGGGTATAAATCTAGAACATATGGAAGGGACTCGGCGAGTCCGGTCAACCAGGAAGTTGACTTTGATCAGGAAGTTGACTTTGACCAGGAAATTGATTTTGACCAGGGGGTAAAATAGTCATTTTACCCTAAGATTAGTTATCAGTATTTGACTTAGTGTTTATGAAAATTGTGGCCGGGGAGTTCCGGAGCAGCTGTCAGACAGTTTCAGATTTAGCATCTCGACAGTTAGCGTTACGAGGTGAGTTTCCATACAGTAGGAACATGTCTAAGGCCACAATACCGGCCTATTTAATTAGTAGTAGTTTTCGAACCTCGATCCGATGCAGTAGTTAGAATGTTTGATGCCTACGTGGCTAAGACAGTGTTTATGTGTTATGTATTCCGGGCTACGACCCGATGCAGTATGCAATTTATGTTTTCATGCTAGTTGATATGTTTATACTATGTTATTTTATGCTTAGATAGTTTCCGGAACTCGTTCCGATGCAGTTAGTTCCCGACTTTGGTCCGATGCAGGGGACAAGGTCCAAGTGAGTTCCGGACTTCGGTTCGATGCAGTTAGTCCTGGACTTTGGTCCGATGCAGAGGGCAAGGCCCTGGTTAGTTCTGGACTTCGGTCTGATGCAGTTTCCGGACTTCGGTCTGATGCAGTGGGCAAGGCCCAGTATGTGTTATTTGTTATTGTATGGCATGTGGTAGTTTGGGGGAGCTCACTAAGCTTTGTGCTTACAGTTTCAGTTTTGGTTTCAGGTACTTCCGCAAGTAAAGGGAAGGGCTCGGGTTGATGGCATTGAACACACCACAACTTCAGTTTGTCCTGGGAGTTGTTTTAGTTTTTCATAGATGTGATTTGATACAGTCTTGATACAGTTTTGTCATGATACTTTGCTATGGTTTTGAGATATTGATGTATGGGTTTTATTTTATGATATTGATATGATGTTTTCAGTAATTATTAAACAAAAAATTTTTGGGTCGTATTTTTGGGATATTACACCAAGCCTCTTTCAGTAAGTAACTACCCTCTATGCTTAATGTCTACTAGAAACCACTGATTTTTTTACCTGGAATCAAACCAAATCATAAACTGGGAATGGGTTTATGGCTGTAAACTCCATTTTAGGTCAAATATTGGCCTTTAAACCCTACTTTGAGCTTTGCACAAGGCTTAGAATAACTACAAGAGGCTAGAAAGGACCGTAAAAGATCGAAAATCACACTTCTCGTCGAAGTGTTTACAGCCGTAAACCCATGGGCCGTAAACCCATGGACCGCAAACCCTTGGGCCGTAAACCCATGGACTGCAAACCAGTTCACGGCCATAAACTCCCTTTACGACCGTAAACAACTCTTTTGTGGGAAAAAGCCTATTTCATCGATTCAACCAATTCCCAATAACATTCCTTAACCGAAACAAAGTGTTTATCTAATAGTTTATCTAATGAAATTACTAATTTAAATACACACAACTAGAAAAATAGCCTTTTACGACGCGCAAATTACGACACTCATTAATATATGTTACGCAAACGAGAGTGACATTAAAAAAGTGTCATCTCTTCAGAAAATTTAAGGATTTAGGTCACGCATTATTGCGTGCCTTTAAATTAGTGTCAAAAGAAAAAAAATTAAAAACACGGAGGGCGCTGTACCTTAAATGCGCGCCCTCTATATGTATCGCTTTATAATTTTAATGAATGCGCGTTCCTTAGTTACAAGCGGGAAAAGAAAAGCCAAAAAATTAGAAAAGCCCGCTACCCTCCCTGCCCTAAGCATTTTCACGCATCTTTCATTCTCCTCACACTGTTGTGCAACTTCTCAATCAAAGATCGAAGGTTACGATTTCATCTCCATCTCTCGACTTCATCATCTCAATCAAGAAAAAGGGCTTCTGATTTCCATTCATCTACTTCATCGTTGCTGTAATTTCACCTTCTTCATCTCTCTGCTGTTATTGAGAATACTCGCCCATAGTTTTCTTATTCCCGACTCGATGTTGAAATTTTCAGAAAAAGCCCTAATTAAGTATTATACTCTCAAGTCTCAATATTAGAATCCAAATATTGATTCTCGTTTGTTTCTTATTCCCCACAGATAAATCGAAAAAGGGGAATTAGAATGACGAAGGTAGCGGGAGTTTTGGTCCGGTGGTCGTGGTTCATCTATCGAGAAAGGAAGATGGGAACGCAAGCAGCCATGGTGGCTCGATGATGGAAATCAATCGAGAAAGGGGAAGCACCTCTGGTGCGGGATCGATTTGACAAAAGGAGAAGGGAGAAGCAGCGACGCTTCTCTTGTCTGCCACAGCTTGGGAATTTGATTATCTCTATCCTCCACCAGGTCTTCACTCAGAAAAAGGCGATCGATCTCCCTACTTCGATTAGAAAACCCAAATAAGTAGAAAACCCCACCTTGGAGATTTAGGGTTCATTCCCACCCAAAATTCTTTCGCACACCCAAAATTCTCAAACATCAACATCTTTTTCGTCATCTCCCCTTTCATTCATTTCCCGCTAACTTTCTCCTACGAAAACACACCAAAGTAGAGGTTTCGGTGGCAAATAAGGATAAAGCGGCGCATGAGATAACTAAAAGGACTCTTATTGGTTGGAAAAACTAGCTGGAAAACACACAAGACTCTATAACCACTCCAGGGTTTAGAAACAGAGAGAAAGTTCTTGTAACTTGCTCACGTCTTACAGGTTACATGTTTTCTGATTTGTTCCCTTTATGCCACTAATTGTATCTAACCCTTTTTATTGTCCAGGGGCAAAACAAAGATTTTTTTATTTGTTCCCTTCGCATCAATTACAGGAATTTGATTATCCCCTCTCTTTGAACTGACGAACTCAACCTGGACCACCACTGCTCAGCCACCCCTGCATCCACCGCTACAAGATGAAGACTTGGACCTGAACCTGAACCCGTTAGCATAAATCCTTCGTTTTGGAGATGGGCTAATTCATGTCTTCTATCTGCGTATTTTTTACTTGGTGATGATAAATTCGTACCCATCAATCTTCCTTCGTGGTCACCATCTGCAATGAACTGTTGAAACAAACATACTTGCTGAAATATATTTGCTAAAATCTCATGCTGAAATCTGAAGTTGGGATATGATTTGAATATTTTTTTAAATCTATTTGCTTGAAATCTTTGTTCTATGTTAAATGTAAGTACTTGCTGAAATATACTTGCTGAAATATATTTGCTAAAATCTCATCAAGCTCTCTCATGCCTAAAATGCCCCTGTCCCATGCCATATAATTTTCAACTTTTTTTTGAAACATTTTTGTCAGTCTTGTTGCTTACTTGTTTTGTAATCATTTGAAGTATAATAAAAGTTTAGTTATAGTTAAATAATTGTTATAGTTAATGAATTTTTGATTCCATTCAAGAATTCCCCTTCTGATCATGCAGGTTTGAGAAACACGATGGGTATGTCCTAATTGATGAGGGAATAGTTGATGAAGTTGATTATGTCCTAATTGATGAGGGAAGAAACCCATTGCTGATAAGTGGTGAGGTATGTCTTCTTACTTTGAGTGTTGTACGGATAAATGATGTTTAAAAAATATTTGGGAAAGTAAAAAAAGGAACTAGTTACTTAACAGCTTTGATATTTTGATCTGCATCTCATTCTCAGGCTAGCAAGGATGCTGCACGTTACACAGTTGCAGCTAAAGTAGCTGAGCTTCTCATGCGTGGCCTTGTATTTTACTTTTTTGCCCTTCTTTTTCCTTTTTGATGTCTTGTTATCCATATCCATTGTATGAGTATCTCATTGTTTGTTTCACTGCACATCATTACAATATACAGCTTAAGGATAATTCAGTGGAGTTGACAGAAGAAGGAATAGCCCTAGCTGAGATGGCTCTAGAAACAAAAGATCTATGGGATGGGAATGATCCTTGGGCTAGGTAACTTTAATTTTATCATCCAACAGGTTGTAAATTAATGATAATGAGATTGATGAGTAGAACACCCATATCAAACATCCATACTAGACCAACAAAGGTTTGTATCTCAACTTGTATTTCTCTTGGACTTTGTAGGCTGATTCAGTTGTAGTGGTGCAAATCACGTACCAATCAATGTTTAAGCTCTATCCAAAGCTTTCCTTTACACCCCTAATTACTTTCCTGAAGTCAAATTGGTGTGTTTGTTACTGTAGCTAATACTGGAAACTATCATTGCTGAAACATCAGTGACAATACTTGGAATTAAGTATGTGATTGATCCTGGATGGGTAAAAGTGAGGAGTTACTCTCCTGATAGTGGCATTGAGTCTCTAACTATTCTTACAACTTCAAAAGCTCAACCTCTTCAAAGGAGGTAAGCACATTGATTTCACATCTACATATACAGGGACCAAATATAAAGCCATGTTTACTTCATTAAACTAAGTGTCAAGTCAAACATTGCATTTTATTTTGAGATGGCAGAGAATATAATAAAATAAGATGGAAATGTGATTCAACTTTAATTTTTTTCTAATGATGCAGTGGGCGTGCAGGGCGTGAAGGAGCTGGGAAATGCTTCTGTCTTTATCCAGAGAGCAGATTTGAGGGACATGATGATTCCACAATGCCAGAGATCAAAAGAGGAAACCTTTCTAATGTTATTTTGTAGCTTAGTGCTCTTGGTGTTGATGATATACTTGGATTTGACTTCATGGAGAAACCCGATAGGTATGCTATATTTTTTCTATTAAAGTAGGTTCATGAACAAGTGAAAGTACATACTAGTATTGTTTTATTCAGTTAAGTTACCTTTAGCACCAAGCAATATTGTTCCTCTGTTTTTTCTTGGTTCTGCTGTTCTCGTCCCTCTTTTCTTCTCCCCTATTTCTTCTATTTTCCTTGGTGACTGACTTTCTTTTATGGTGTATGTAACTTTCTTTTTTATGAAAACTTTCTTTTTATGACTCTTTCAATTATGACTTTTTGATATTTTATGGTGTATCTATAACATTTCTAAAGTCCTATAGAAAAGAAATCAATTTGTGTATCTTAATGCACCATATAAGTAGCAATTATTACATGGTGATTGGAGAAAAAATCGACACGTGTGGATTTCTATAAAAAATGCTAAAAACTAATCATTTTTTGTTTTAAAAATTCATATTTAGGGACCTTCTGTCACCTTATCAGTCCAGCTGGTGGTGTTTTCCCTAAAACAGGAACATCATTTTGTCCTCAATTCCCATTTCCCCCTGCTCCTCTACTAATGATGCAAGAACGGTTCCAGAGTCTTATCAGACAACTTTTTCATTGTGAGTTGTTGCATCATTAGCCTTACTTACAGTTCTGACTTCTGATTTCACTTATATACCTCTATGTGGTGTTTATAGAGAATTATCAATATGCTCACACAAATTTCTATAGCTGATTACACATTAATTTAATTATGCAGGTTTTAAAGTTTTTGATGGAAAAGAATAGTGTTAATACTCTTCATAGAAAAGTATGTTGGTATTTTAGGAAATTTGGCTAATAATTTAGTTAATTATATAAAAAATGTTGAAATGTTACATTTGTCTACTATTGGAATGATTATTTGTATGACATTAACTTTTGTGCAATGTATTGTATTTTTTGTATATGGTATTTTATTTTCTATTATGAGACATGATATGCAAATTTAATTTGAAATTCAGTAAATCTATAAATAATTTTTTTTAAAAAAAAAAAATTAAAATTATGATACGTAAAAATGTGTGTCGTCTTCATTTATGACATGACCTTTCTTGACAGGGGTTTCCTTGATACGCAATGCGTGTCATAAACACGCGCGTCGTAAGGTTACGACACGCAAATGCGTGTCGTCTTCCTTTATGACAGGGCCTTTCTTGATACGCATTGCGTGTTGTAAACGCGCATCGTAAATGCGCGTCGTAAATGAGCGTCGTAAATGCGCGTCGTCTCTCTTTATGACAGGGCCTTCCTTGACGCGCATTTGCACGTCATCTGAGCCCTTTATGACGCGCAATGAGCATCCTAAAAGGCTGTTTTTCTAGTAGTGACACATATGTATTTATTTGATATTAGGATTATGTTAAGTCCAACGTACATCAACTCAAGGATCGTCTAGTTCAATCCTTTGCATCCAACCACTAGTGAGTTCATACCCTACACTTTTCCAAGTCTTTCAGGTTTTCAGGGGGGGGGGGGGGGAATATAAGCCAAACATAAAAGATTTCATAACTTAAAAAATGATGCAATTACAATGGTTTTCAATCAAACATTTAGATATATTTATCCCTTTTGTAATATGCAAAGCATAAGGGACTTATCTTCGTTATGCCCCTTGGGGTACCAATAAATCCTCACCGGTAGTATAACCAGAGTTTCCTGGAGGGAGAGCGTGAAATTTGTGAATAGATCTATTTGGGACCGACAATTCCACACCTGAATTGTTAGCTATAGTTAGGCAAGCACGCCTGGGGTGAGAAATTTTGAAATCGTACGATGCTTGAAGAAACGTCAAGGAGGTCACCGATCATATTAGTATGGTTATATAACTCACAATAAGTATAAACTAACCTTTGTTTATGGGATTTCTTTCTTCTATAGTTTTATTTCAATTAATAAAACTACTTATCTACTTAATGGAGGGTATTCCAGGGACACAACCTTTTGTTTTATTTTATGAAATAAAACTACTGTACACACTGCTGGTACCCGTGGTTTTCTAACAGAACATACACTACATATTGGCGGTAGCCAGGGTTTTCAAATGGAATATACTTTTCATACAGAAATAAAAAAACATGTTAGAAAATATGGGATTTTCTTGGAAAGCATGCATACGTATTTCATAACTTGATAATAATGGTTGTCGACACAAAAGACATTTTAATTATAATGAAAATAAACATTTTGTACAAATTGAGTGACTAGTTTTCAATATAAAAACATGCTAATGAACTCACCAGCTTTATGTTGATACTTATTCAAAACCGCTTGTATTTTCAAGGCAACAATAGACAGGTACCTTCGCCAGCTTTTGGAGAATACGGAGAATTTTGGAGTCTCGTCTTTATCTTTTGTTTATATCGATGTATACAAACTATATTTTCAAATAGATGTAAATATTCATATTGTAATGTAATGGTTATGTTTACTTTGATTGCTATGATACGATTGTTGTGATACTACGTATGATGTCGCCGCCCCCGGACGTTTTCGCCGTTTTTTTCTGACGGTTCAGGGGTGTGACAGTTTTCTAGGATTTCATGTGTTCTCTCCATTTGATCGTTAGTGATTTCTACTTCATAGATTTATTTTAATTTGCTAGACTCACGACTTAACAATTTTCTAAACGTCGGAGTTATAAAACTTCTATCTACTCTAGAGTCGAAGAGTATGGTAGCATATAAATTATGTATGCGAAACGTACCAGATACGAATGAAGGGTCCTGGATAGCTTCTCTGCTTCCAATCACAAATACCCTGCCACTCCCTATGCCTCATTGACTCCTTAACTTTGGACATTCTCTCTTAATATGTCCAACCTCTCCACACTCATAACACTTTCTTCCTTCACCATGGCCTGCTCCGATATTTTTTTCCCTGATTCACTATAGCAGGTGTTGTGCTCCTACAGTGACTAGCACTATGTCCCATCATCTTGCACTTCGTGCAAACAAAATAGTTAGTTGGATGATGACGGTTGCACTGACTGCACCATGAAGATTTTGGTTGCGTGGGTGCTACTGTCGTGGTTGCATAATTGGTTGCCACTTCTTGTCTTTTCTCAGATGATTGTCTGGGATTCTTCCCATTAAACATGAGCTTGTTTGTTCCAAATTTAGGAGACTCAACCTTTGAGACCACTACTTTTCCTTGAATCTCTATGATAGTTAGTTGATGAGCTATTCTTTTGGTGTTGTCATAGGTTGTAGGCTTTGATGCGATCACCATGCCTTTGATTTGCGATGCTAAACCCTAGATATATCACTCAATCTTCTTATATTTAGGGGTTAAAAGTGTTGGAAACATTACTGCAAGATCATTAAATCTTGAAGTATAAGCTTTTATCTCTAAAGCCTTTGTGGTTAGGGTCCACAATTCTTGTTCCAGATTATGTACTTCCTCCTTAGGACAATACCCCTCTACTAGCATCATTTTTAACTCTTCCCATTTCATGGAATTTGCAGTATCAATTCCCATTGTATTCAAATGGCTGTTCCACCATGTAACTGTTGCATTAGCGAAAGTACAAGCGGCAAATCGTACTTTACAATCGTCTGTACAGAAGCTTATTTGAAAGACGGACTCTGCCTTTTCAATCCACCTAGTCAAATTAACAACCCCTTCATTTCCATGAAAGCTTGTTGGCCTGCAATTCATAAAGTCTTTGATGGTACACATTCTAGCGGTCCCTACATTGCCTTCAAGTTCAGCTGTACTTATTGGGGGATTTGGTTCTGGTGGTTGTTTTTATGGTGCTGATCGTTGGTTAGGGTTTAGCCGAGCACTAATCCTTCTAGGCATTTTGTTTTAGTTCCTATTATAAATAATAAGAATTTTATGAGTTTTGTTAGTCATTTAATACACGAGTGCTAAATACTACAATTATTCTTTAAAGTGTATAACATAATGAATAACACAATGATTACTATAATATATGCTTCATATTATTACCAACGGTTACATCAGTTTATTTAGGCTTATAAGAGAAACGTTTCTATAAACATTATAAAATTTTCAAGGTTTTCTACATCCTTGCTATAAACTTTACTCTTCTTTCCATAACTAGTCTGATTTCCCTATTTACACAACCACTAGTTTTAGCTTATCTACCAGTAACCTAGGTGATAATCCAACACGTCAGTGACATTAATCAGTTTCTCCTCAAGTGCTTGAGTTATCTACTCAATATTTCTTGTGCGTTCTTCATTTATTGATGTTTGATTGTAGAGATCTAACTTTGCAATCCTTGCATCGTGAGTAATCATGTCATTATATGCGACATTTATACGATGATGGACATCCATCACCGATTCCTAATCCCGCGTCCTTTGTCCTTTTAGCCTTCGTACTCTTCCAGAGAGATGAGTGGCCCTTCCTTCGGCAATTTCCATCTTATCTTGAATTTTCACAATGTTCTCTAACAATTGAGATAAAGTGCTAACTTCATAATAATGTGGGGATGTGGTCGAGATGATTGACCAGTCTCATACATTTTAGCAGCCCTTTCTTCTACCACCCACCTATCAATGGTTTGTGTTATCCGTGTAAGTTCATCTTGAGATCTATGACTTCCTAAAGATGTCGCCTTCTGATTCTTCTTAATCCGTTTCCATATTGGTATGGATTTACGTGTCGTACGTTTCATCTTCGCACCTCCTGGAACTTGACAGTAATGAGTGTTTCATCTTCCATTGGTTCGCTCTCATACATTGGTTCACTCTCTTCTCATTTGTTGGAAGGTAAAGGTGCTACATCATCATACGGTATCGGATGAAAGGTGGTTGGATTTATAGGGTATTAATGATCACCTACCAACATGGGGATTGAAACCTCCTCTTCTTCATCGGTATCCTCGATGATTATCCATTCTCGTGAATGTGCCATGTCGAATTCTTGTACATTTTGGATCACCAAGAGTTTACTCTATCAAATATT